TTATAATTTTTCTTTATTGATTCTCTTTTTCTTAACAATGCACTTCGTTTTCTTTTGGGGGTGTTTAAAGGAGGGGATGGAATCGTTAATCAAATCTCAAGATTCATGGTATTCCACAAAAGAAATACTCGTATAGTTTATCTTTTTATCTTTTTCGTATAGTTTAATAATGCAAAAGTAGTAGTTTAATTACTACATACATAGTTTACTTTATCATTTTTTAGCCCTATTAGGATTGTATGGATTATTCATAAAACAACATTGTCTCATATACATTACACTAAAATATGAATATATTCCGCATAATTTAATGGATGTTTACTAACTTTATTGGTTGCAGTATTGTTTGCTAGACTTGATATTCTGTTTGCTATTTCTTTTATTTTCACATAATAAAAATACATATAGAATTTTAGAAATGATGATCAAATGCAATCTTACATTCTCTAATCATGTATTCTTACTAAATTAAGTAGCATTGGCATTTACACAATGTTAATTGGTGATTATTTACTGATTATAAATTATTTATGATTAATTCATTTGAAGTTCAAAAAATATGTTTAGATACACGGATCAATTCAACTTTAACTTTCATCTTATTATTAAAGCTTGATTTTAATATGAATTGATTGATATTTACAACATAAATCTAATGAAAACCCTTTATTCTACATACTCTTAAATCAAACTTTATGCAGGTAATATGAATTAAAAGAGGTCTTTTTATGAAAATCAATTATATTTTTAGAGTCCCTTGGAATCATTACTTAAAAAGCAGCCTCTTTCTGCAAATTAAGTGTCAAACGTTTTACTTTGTCCTGTTTTATACAAAGGTCTGTTCAATTACTGTCTTAACTTTGCATCAAATGGTCAATTAATATAATTAATCAACAAAATAAAGCGTAAATTAATTATACATTCAATGTTAAACAAATTAATTAAAATCATAGAATAATAATTTAGGAAAAATGAATTTAAACATAAAAAAATAATTAGAAATATCACGTGAGAGGAGTCGTGGATTATAAGAAACGTACAAAACTACTAAATTGTGTAATTTGTTTTGATTGAGTTTAAGAAAGATATAAAAGATCCTGGTTGAAAGAATGTTTGCATAATATTAATCCAAAAATAGCTTAATAATCAAGATACTGCTAAGACCCACAGCTGGTGTACCCAGCACGTGAAGAAGAAATGTTAGACAAAATCTCTGGTGCTTTTTTTGTCTTCTTTATTACTCCAACTTTTTATACAACTATTCTTTCATTTTTTTGTGGTGAATCCAAGTGGTCAAATACTAAGGATTTAGAAAATTGCATTGATATTCATACTTTTCCATTGATTATCATGTTAAGTTGAATATTTGTAGACTTTTTAGTGGTTGGTAAATTATGTTTGGTTTGGTGACATACGGGAAAATAAGTACGAATAAATTATAGTATACTGTAAAATATATCATTATATTGACCAATTTTACTTTTTTTTACTCGTATTTTTTATTTGTAGATGTACATAAAATTGGTCCAAATTCAATTAGACTAAAATTGGAGTTAACATGATAAATGAGTTGCAATTTTGATCAAAATTGTTCATTCAACCGTCATCTTCCAATTGGTTCAAGTCTGATCGTCAAGTCATCAAGTATCAGACTTGTGCACAATCCTAAGGGTAACACATGATTCACGTATCCTACCTCGAGCTTATTATTAAGAATGCAGTTGATATACATATAAATCATTTTCATGCCCTGTTGCAATCAAAAATAGACTAATGTTGGATCACAAAACAAATTAGTGTTTTCTTAGGTGATCCACGTGTTTACACAACTATAAATAGTCAAGTAGAAGTAGCAACACACCTTCCTCTAACCAACGTATACTTTAAGTGATCCTCTCAATCCATCCCATATATGCTAAATTCACTATATTTCCCAAACAAAAAAAAACAAAAATATTAATTTTATGAAGAAAAATTTATATAATATATTATATATATCCATATGAAATACTATTGTTCTCTCCAACTCCAAGACAAGCATGAGTACTTGTACAAAAAGCCTTGAGCCCCAAGTAATAAGGAAAATTTTTGATGATCATCATCATCATTTGTACTAACCATTAAAAAACACACAAAATACACAATTACACAAACACAAGAAAAAAAATAGAACATTGATGTTTGGAATCACTTATCATTTGGTCCAAAAATTGTAGGTATCTCGTTCAGAACACCATCCCATGTCCATACACATGAGACACTTACACACATCTTCATCAACTTGCACTTGCACTTGCACTTGCCTCGTCCTCCAAAATGTCAAAAACGGCCCTTCTTAATACTATAGTTAATTTGAAATGAACAGGTCCCATCTTCAAAAATGTATTTCTCACGCGCTACTCGGAACAATTGGAAGTATCACTACCGTTGGTCAAAGAGCGTGGGGTACACGCATGAAGGTGATACGTTGTAGTGGAAAACAAGAAATGATGAAAGGCCGTACATTTTAACCGAATTAAATGGCGGTAAATTCTAGGTTGCCCGCCACGTTACTTCTAGCTGTAAAAAGTACGAGTAAATTTTTTTTTTTTTAAAATTTTAGATTTATCATTTTTATTTGTTGCCCTTGTTAACGGTTCGCCAGCCAAAAATGCACTGGTTTAATTTTTACTTATTTACGAGTATTTATTATTTTGTTTTCATTTGGTTGGTCAATTAAAATGTTTGTTATATTTTTTTGGTACGAAGATCATATTTCCATGAGCAGATTTTGCGCTACAAGTTTAAGAATTTGTATATACTTACTCGTGTTAAAATAAAATAAAAATACAAGTGCTTAAATAATTTCAAAACTAAATACCGTAGCTCGGTATATATCATATTACAGATGGACAAATTTTAAAAGTATTTTCTTAACATCATTTGGATTTACACTAATGTGGCCAACCATCATAATAAAGGTGTATCGTTAATGTTATAGGAGTTATTGAAGGTCTGTTCTCATCAACTTATTTTCAGTTCACTTCCTAATTTTTTTCTCTTAGAAAATATTCAGTTCAGCTTAGTTTAGTTCAGCAGTTCAGTTCAGCCCATTTCAGTCAATGAGAACAGGCCCTCAACAGTGTTATATAGATTACTTGGTCAATTATAGGGGTTATTCAATCACCGTTACAAGGGTTGCTTGATCAGTGTTATAAAGGTTATTTTTTCTTTTATAATTGGCCACACAATGTGGCCACCCGCACACAAACAAACTGCTGATTAGATATATAAACTAGATTAATAATAATAATAATAATAAAAGTAAATTATCTTATACCAATAGTATAATAATATTATATTTAATAAACTTTAAAGATATCAATGATTTAATAGCGCGTTTTTCGTGCAATTGAACAGCTTATATGATCGCATGAAAAAAAAATTAAAAAAAAAATTGACAAAGTAACCTCTTATTATGCTTAATGAATAACCCTTAAATAACAAATATAATAACCCCTGCAACACTTATAGATGTAACCCTTATATTACTAACTATATAATTAAGGTTATAACTGTAACTGAGTACCCCTGCAATACTAACTGATTAAGGGCCTGTTCATATTTACTTATTTTCAGTTCAGTTCAGTTCAGTTCAGTTTATTTCAGTTCAGCTCCAATCAGTTCAGTTCAGTTCAGTTTTATGCATTTTAATTTTTCAGTTCAGTTCAGTTCAGCTCCAATCAGTTCAGTTCAGTTCAGTTCAGCTCCAATCAGTTCAGTTCAGTTCAGTTCAGTTCAGCTCCAATCAGTTCAGTTCAATTCAGTAAATATGAACAAGCCCTAACCCCATGGTGGCTGGGCACATCGTATAGTCAACACATATAAAAGTTAGGGCCTGTTCTCATACGTTGAAATCCAGTTCAGTTCATTTCAGTTCAGCTCCTAATTTTCTTCTCTTATAAAATATTCATTTCAATTCAGTTCAGTTTAGCTGAGTTCATTCAATGAGAGCAAACCCTTAGTGATGATTAGATACTTTTATTTTATTAAATTTTTTTATTTAAAAAAAAAAAGTGAGGCCATGTTCTTAAAAACAAGTAACAAAAATATAATTTGGTTTAGCAAATATGAATTTAATCTTTAAAATTATGCAGTACTCATAACTTTGTTAAATCAAATTTAATACTCGTAACTTTATTAAATCAAACTTTAATCTATAAAAAAAATTTAAGTTCAACAAAATAATTTAATATCAATATAAGATAGAATACAACAAACAAAAAAGGATCTAATACTTTTTTTCCCGGGGAAAAAAAATTAAAAACTTTATGAGTTATGATCAAGAATAAGTGTAATTATGAACTTTAGTGGATCTTTTTTTTTTTTTTTTTTTTACCAATTTTAACTTTTACAACATTCACATTCTCTAGTTTAACCATCTTTTGTGATTTGTACATAATAAAAATAGTAATATGGGGTATTTTTATAATTACACATGTCAATACATATAATAACAAATTAGCAAAATCTAGGTTGTTTAAATTTGACTGATTGAAAACTAAGGATATTGATCTCACAGTAAAAATTACTCGTATGTGTTGGTAAGTGTGAAAAATAAAACATGAATTAGACTCCTAAAGTTCCTATAATGTTGCAATAAAACTAAATTTAAAATTTCTGTACAATAGTAAATTAACATTGCATATTATTCAATAGTCTCATGAATTCACAACATAAAAATATCTAATTTTATGTATGTGGAAACACAATCATGATTTTTTGTTAATATTTATAATGACTAATACGTTACCAAATTAATTAATTGTTATTCATATGGTATTGATTGATTGTACTTGATTCATTAATGTCTCAAAGCCAGTCTGTAAAGTTAAATCAATAACCGCGTGATACTCCAATAATTAGAAGCAACGTCATCAGGTCAAATGTTGACCAAACTTACCTTTCATTTTCATTTCTTAATCCTTAATTAACAAAATTTTAAAAACTTGAAAAGTAATTACCCCTTTTAAGTTTAACTACAATGAGAGATTTTTTTGATAGTAAGTGAGAAAAAGTGATGGAGCATGAGTATTGAGTGAAGAGTGATGAAAATATTTTTGACCGACAAGTTAAAATGAAGAAGTCTGGGCATCTTGGTTCTCACGTGATAGGCAAAAACACATAAACCAATGTTTTTTAAAAAAAAAAAAAAAAAAAAAAAAAAAAAAAAAAGAGAAAAAACTCATGTTTTGCTGACTCAGCCGTAACTATCAACCTCCACACTACCCAGTTGGAGCTTACTCCATTGGATCATAAACATGATTTCTCTCTCCTTGGACCATCTTCCACGTGTTTAAATCGTGTCCATTCAATAACCCTATGCGGCGGTTCGTATTGTTCTCCTACTTCACTGTGACAAACACCACCCTCACCGCACTGTCACCCTATCACCTCCTCCTCACTATACCCTTTTCTCAAGTAATTTCTTTAATTAGAGATATTTTTGCCCCCCTCTCTGACCCAATTATACAAACCCAAAAAAATTACAATAATTATATTATTTTTTTAATTTAATTTACATTTTACCGTTTTCCAATTTCGGCTGATGGTATCCTATATAAAACCCAACTCAAGAGTCACTTACTCACTTGTTTACCTCCTCCTTTTATTGCTCCTCTTCACACTCCCTACTTTCTCTCTCTTCACTCATTTTCTCTCTCCTCTCTTCACATTACATTTTCACAAAATTAAATAAATTCCCAAAAAAATTGAACTTTCCCATTACATTGAATCTTCCTTTCTCACTGTTCCCAAATTTTTCCACCAATTTTCATCTTTGTTGACAATTTGTTCTTCTTAATGCGAAGAACAGAAGTAATTTATATTGTTTGAACCAATCCACCCTTAAAAAAGATGGATTATTCTCACTTGCTATGCCCGGTGAAATACACCGAGCATCGCAGCGTGACAAAGAAGCAGAACCTTATCAAAGTATCAAAGAAATCGATACCGAAACCTCCACCTAGAGTGGTTCGTGTATCGGTTGTAGACAACGACGCAACCGACTCATCAAGCGATGAGGAGTCCGACTTATTCGGCCGTCACCGTGTCAGGCGGTACACGAATGAGATATTGATCGAGCAAACCACCAGTTTGAGTAATGCTGCGGTAGCAGCAACAACAGCAACAACTACGGCTCCTATTGTCGCCCCTCTTTGTAAGAAGGGCGGGTCGAGGAGGAAATCATCAGCAAACACGGCCGTGCCGACCGGTCAACCCGGTGGCGCGTTGGTGACTTCCGGTGGTGTTAGGAAGTTTCGAGGTGTCCGTCAACGGCCTTGGGGGAAATGGGCTGCGGAAATTCGTGACCCGGCGAAGCGGGTTCGGTTATGGCTTGGAACGTATGACACTGCTGAAGAGGCTGCAATGGTTTACGATAACGCTGCGATTAAGCTTCGTGGTCCTGATGCTCTGACTAATTTCGCTACTCCGCCACCGCGTGAACCACCGGCTCCGGTGGTGGTTGAGACTCACGCGCCGTCGACTTCCGGCGGGTATGAGTCGGGCGATGAGTCTGCTTCACACAACATTCTCTGCTCACCCACTTCTGTCCTCCACTTCCGGGGCGGTTCGACCGGGGAAGAAGTCTCCCGGTTCAAACCGGACATTGTTAAAAATGAAAATGAAATGTTGTTTTGTCCGGTTCAAGAAACAAGCAACAGTGTGAGCAACAGCTTGATGAGTATCAGCAACAGTATGAGCAACAGCAGTAGTAGCTGTCACTTGGAGGAATGTCAAGGAGAATCATCATCAAATATTGGCGATTTCTTAGATACGCCGTATTTGAATGATTTCTTCAACTTTGAGTCACCGGAACCCATGATTTTCGAGGATTCCAAACCGCTGGACAATCTATTTGCTATCGGTGATGATTGTGATAATCAGTTCCATAACCAGTTTGATTTCGGGGACGTGTTCGTTGATTCGTTTATGGATGATTTCGATTTTAATACGATGAATAACAATAACAACAACAGTTATTCATCGTCTAACTTGTTACAAGTGGACGATTATTTTCGAGATATCAATGAGATTTTTGCAGCGGATCCTCTTGTAGCCTTGTAATCTGACTGAAAAAACAAAAGAAAAAAGAAGAAAATGGGAGAGAGTCATCTTTTTCCGGCCGATTGTTGATTGGCAAGTTTTGTACCGGCGGCGAGTATTAATTAGATTTTTTTGTTTAATTTTATATTAGTAGTACTAATATTATTCTCTGTTAGAAATATAGCGGAGAATTTTTGAGGAATTAATAAAATTAATTATATGAGAGTAATTATTTAGGCCTTTAATTTTGTTTTGTGATGATGAGTTGTATACAGTAAATTCAATTTTGGTTGAAGAAAAATGGAAATACAGATTACAATTTGTTTCCTACTTTTAACTATTTTCCTAGCTGTTCTGCTTGATTTTCTACCATATAGTTTTATTCCTTTTAACTCTGATTTATTTCTTTAAAAACAAAAAAAACAACTGTAATTATTTCCTTAAATTATAAATCAAGGTGTAAAAAATTGTTCAAAGGAACCTGTTTCCATTGACCATTGATTAATTTTCAATCGTCATCATAACTACGAGTGTAGTTCGATGTTAACATTACTCTACTCGTGTCTATATAATGTTCGTTGATCACTATTCACTTGAGTGAGGTGACTGAGGTCAATTGAGTCATACTCGGTATGTACTTGCAAGATTTTTGTGAACTCGTATTATAATATTATAGAGTATATTATAATCGCAACATAGAGTGAGTATAATTTAGCAGAAGTATTTAATTCGGTAAATTAAATATTTTCAAACACAGGTATCTACAAAATTAAAAAAAATTGTAAAAGGTTAGAATAAGGGAAGGACGTGGGATTGGCAGCTAAGATACTAAAGGATCTTACAAGTGAGGTAAGGAATTGACTATAGAATGAAAATAATTCCACTTCTAAGTCACGAATATAAATATATGGTACATTGTATAATTAGATATTTAGGTAGGAAAATTTCATGTATAAATAATATGGACCCAACTTATTATTATTACTATAACTGTTATAGTAATATTTGTAGTAGGTGCAGATGAAGGAGGAGGTGAAATTAATTTTGGCGAGTATTATAAATGTTATTTAAAAAAGTCAATTAAAAAATTTGGAGGTTGGATGTGTATTTATTTATTTTATTTTATTTATTTACTGAGATTCTGTCCCTCTTGTGTCGTTGTAATAGTGTTAGCACGTGGATTCAAGATTTTACTGACTTTTTTATTTTAATTTTTTTTATGAATATTAACTTTGAAAATAAATAAAGAAAATTGAGCAAAAGAAAAAAGAAAAAAAAAAAAGTTGAAAGAACAATAGAAAAAGGAGTGTGGAGAGAGAGTGTGGGGATGCCAATGTGGCATTCTTTTTGCCGCTCCAACCCACACGAGTAGGCGCAATTTCCGCTTTTTAGGCCGTTTATTTGACCCTCCAAATAGCCCAACTTGCCAATTTTTTTGTTTAATTACTTTTTTATATTTAATTTTAATTTTGAATTATACTTCATATCAAAAACTCTAATCGTTTAAACTCTTATACACATAAATCTGTTTAAAGTATAGTTTCTTTTTTGTTGTTTAGTTCACAGATTAGCCCCTAGATTGAGAGATAGATGTAGGTGGTTTAGTAAAGCTAGTTAGCAACGTAGTTAGATATTAGTTTTAGGTCCTAAATCCTTATATACCCAACTTAGGGCATGTTCACATTTATTGAAATGAGCTGAACTGAACTGAACTGAACTGATTGGAGTTGAACTGAATTGAACTGATTGGAGCTGAACTGAACTTAGCTGAAATGAATATTTTATGAGAGAGGAAAATTAGGAGCTGAACTGAACTGAACTGATTAGAGCTGAACTGAACTGATTGGAGCTCAACTAAACTAAATTGAACTAAAATTAAGTAAATGTGAACAGACCCTTATTACATGATGAATAAGTTTCATTAACATTCATTTGATAAGTAAATTTAATGTGTGTTTAGTTCACCTACAAAAATACTTGTAAATAAGTTTAACTATAAAAGGTTATAAATAACATGACAAAAACACTTGTAAATAAGTTTTGATTCAGAAAAGTGTAATTAAATTTAAAGTTTTGATCAATAATAAAGATTAGTTGAGTGAAGTGTATAATCTCTCCAATTATGAATAATTGATGTAATTTTGACTTGATCATAATAATCAGTGCACTAGTGTAACCTAGGGATGTCAATAGGGCGGGTCGGATGCGGATGATGGTACCTCCACATCCATCCCCACCTAAAAATCTTATATCCATCCCCGCGCCCACCACCCGTGGCAGGTACAATATCCACATCCATACCCGCCCCCACCTGGTACAAGATAGGATCCATCCCCGCCCCATCACCCACTTGGATATTCATACCCACCTCATAACCGCCCCAAAATTGTCCCAAACCCTTTGCCATGATGCTCTATTGTATCACATTAATGACAATTATATCAAATTAGGTTAAAAAAATTGGGACTTTCACTATTCAAGCTTATTGGGTCTTAGGGGGTATCAAGTTTCGTAAATTCTCAACTCTTCTAAAAGAAATATGGTGCGGGTATAAGGTGGGTACGGGGCGGGGCGGATGTACTCTAAAATTTATACCCGCCCCACCACCCATGGCGGGTACACATTTATACCCATCCCCGCCCCATCACCCGCCAAACCTCCCTCCATCCTCGCTCCACTTGGGCAGGAATGGGGCGGGTTTCCCATTTAACCCGACCCACTGCCATCCGTAGTGTAACCATCAATGTATATACTTTGTACGGAGTATATTGTAAAAATTATAATCCATATATAAAAATAATAGTATGATGTACTGTATACTAATATTGATTGAACAGTATTTTATATGAAAACATTTATGATTTATACATTTGTAAAAAAAAAAATAAAAAAAAAATTGTCAAACTTATTGTATAAATCACGCAAAAGTCAACCATATCAATTATCAATGATTGGAGGAAATAATGTAAGACATCAAACCTCAATACTACGTTGGTGTGATGTATATGACAAACTAACTTCCCAAACATTTAAATTTTTTTCATCATCAAATTTCATTTGTGTCAATAAAAAAATATAATAATAATTTGATTATATAATCTTCCATTTAGAATAGGGTCTGTTCTCATTTATTGAACTGAACTGAATATTTTATAAGAGATTAAAATTGGAAAGTAAACTGAACTGAACTGAAAATAAGCTGAAGAGAACATGCCCTTATTGTAGACGTAACATTTTGCTGTTATAGGGTTATAACTTCTAAAGTTCAAATTAGTCTCAAATTAATCTTTGATAATAAGACTATATATCTTGGATGAACGAATAAAATTAATCTCAAAATTAGATGCAAACAATCTACTATTTAAGTAATAAGGATATATAGTACCATGCAATTTTAGGGTTGTGTACTACAGTGGTTAGCTTAGTAAAGGCTAATTTATATTGACTTGTAAGCTAGCATAATTGGGGGGCTAAATGGCTCATTATTTTGGTTACATAATTTGATTAAAGTTTAAACATAATAATCTGTAAAGTTATATGTATAGATGGAATGCATTATGCAAACAAATACTCCTACTAGTCTATAATTCTATATACTATACTAAATAACAATTTAAGATGTTTGTTTAGCATAACTAATACAATAACTACCTAATTTCATGTTAAAGTAATCTTATTGTCTGCCATTTTGTGCCAATGAGTGAAGAATTTAAGTTCTCATTGGTTAACCAATAATTAATATCATATAGTGACAAATTAAGGAGTGAATTGCTGAATTGCTTAGCTCAAAAAGGCAAAAGATGTGCTAGCAGTAGTATCAAATTAGCTACTCCATAACTACATATATATCATGTAGTATTTGTAATTTTGGGTATAAATTAATGTGATTAGTGTATAACATAAAGTTGATTTTGTTTGACCATAGTTGTATATTTTTAGGCTTTTATGAAATTGTCGGTCTAATACTAGCCGAATTATATTAATTCAAAACTTATACTTGTATTTGTCACTAGTCAAAAGTCAATTCGAAATGTTATTAGTAATTTAAACTCCTTCATCTTTCCCTATTTTTGTGGAGATTATCACAACTATCATGAGACTACAAAACTCTTTTTTCCTATTTTTGTGGCTAATCATTTTTGCTTAGACTCGAGTATTATTAGTAGATATGAATTGCTATAGTTTGAATATGACTTACCTTCATTCGATGTGACAACTATGTATATGGTATTGATTTTCTTTGATTAATTTTGCATCTTTATCACAAAATTCTTACAAATTTATTATTGAAGACACTCAATTGTGAACAAACTTTATGAATTGATTATTAGATGACTTTTTTCTTATTATTATTTTTTTTAAAAAAAAATGATTTTCATAGTATATTGTATAATCCATAATCTATAAACTAATAAAAAATCGACCAAACTGCAACCTATGTCGTATTCAACATATCTAGATGCTTCGTATTACATATTGTTGATTTCATATATAGGCCGCTCATGCGCTCACTAAAATTTGGCCCGACCTACTTGTAATGATATCCTTGAATAAAAGGATACCCTCGGCTAAACAAATAAATTAAAAGTAATGGATATATATACACGAAGCCAAAGATAAAGGAAAATATAATGGCATGGGCTCCTAAGATATCTGATCTATATTGCCAGAAACCTAACGACTCCGTGATTATCAATTTAATACATATCTCGTATTATATTTTGAAGTTAGCATGATATCTACGTGACACTCAAAATCTCAGACCCCTTACTAGATCCGCCTACTATCATTAACACAATTGGTCAATTAGCTTTGTGTTGACTTGTTTAGTTGGAGCTTGAGTATCCATAATCTTCAAATATATGATTTAATTTGCTTCATAAATTATATAGTTGTATATATTGGTGGTGGAGGCTGTTATGAAATAGGACCTTTTTTGGGACTTTGAATTTGATTGAGGAACAATGCAAAGCTAAATGAGAAAACAATTAAAAATGAACAAAATAAAACACACAAGATTTATAGTGGTTCACTAAAAAATGAGCTACATCCACTTTTGGGGAGATTGGAGCTTGTATTACTCTTTAATGGAGGAAGAATTACAATGGAGAAAGATGGTGTTCTTGGTGAGCTAATTTAAGGTCTAAGTCTCACTTGTGTTTCTCTCTCATACTCTCTACAATGAAAAACAAGAGTATATATAGTGCAAGATGAATCAACGGTTAAGATTACATCCCGAACAAAATAAGAAGAAATCGCAGCGCTGGAACAGGGGCTCGAAGGTTCGACCGAACCTACCCAGAGTTCGGTCGAACTTAGTGTGGTTCGGT